GCTATATTACAATTCAACGGTATATAGCATTTGTTTATTATGAAGAGTAAAATGATATATATGCATGACAAGAGGAGGATTAATTCTAGAAGCGTGCGTGGGCATGCATGTGGATGCTACGGAGTTTGGAGAGCCAGAAACAACTGGCCATTGATCATCATAGAATAATAATGTAAGTGTGCAACAAATATTGAGTATTTGTTATGTACAAGAGTCACGGATAGTAATTATTTGATCGTCTAGAGCTGAGAATAAATATGTGCGTGGATTCCAAACAATAAAAATACCAAAACAACGAAATGGGCTCAACGGACATAGATATGCTGTGATGGGCTTTGAGTAATTGGGCCGGCCGCCTAACCCAATTATTTAAAGTTGCAGACTCCTCCATTCAATCCAGAAGCCCGAGAGTGAACTTTGGCCCCAAACAAATTTCGAATGTTAACATGGAATATAATCAGTTTGTGATCATCAGAACGTACATTAACCAAACAAAGGCCTAATTTGTTCAGAATTTACCAAGGCTTGATAGAATCCTGGTATGTAAGGACATTAGCTAGCTGTTTCCAATTAGAGTATGCATGCAAGAAGCATGAACCCCTACCCCCCCAACACTCTACCTTACGTTAAAAACATTTCCTTTTTGTCTCAACTGCCTACATCACCACCTATAAATCAACAACCTACATCATCATTATTAATCTTGAACATTAATTAATCAACAGATTATCCGCGACCACAACATGCCAGATTGGCAAGAGTCGGGCGCTAATAAGAAACAACACATTATGGGTGAAGACTTTGGTTATGGTGACAATGACGGGTTTGGCTGTCGCGGAAACAGCCAAACGCCAAACTCTGTCATTGCCACCATCACTGCAAAACAACAAGCAAAGAGAAGGGCAAGATAGAGAATTACCGTTGATGAGGCAAATGGAAGAAGACTACTACGACGAGGCATGGGATCCTGCACCGTACTTTGGGGGCAGCTATATCCAGCTCCCATTCCCCATTGAAAGAAGACGCATGCAGGGACTCTGTAACACACTAAGCTTGATGTTGTTATACCTTATTTATCTCTTATTTATGTACTATCACTCAATTTGAAATTCAACTTTTAATGGATTCAATTTTGTCCTTAAGAAATGTGAAATTAAGGCAGCTTTATATGCATGAAATTGGCAGAATATAAATGGAGAAACTACCATTTCAGTCCCATATTTCAGGTTCACTACTGCTTTCCAAAAAAAAAAAAAAGAACTGCATGCCCCTTCTTCATCTTTACTCTCATTTTCATAGTTCCCACCATATTCCCTGCACCCATCGTCCTACACATTTTCTTTTACATTCAAAAAAACAGTTGTATATAGATAGAGTACATAAGATTAACAAAGGTTGTCCATATCCAAAGTGCATACAGAGTACTTTAAATTACACAAATCAAGATCATGACACTACAAACAACACACTGTAAGACTCCAAACAACATGACGTGTAGAGGATTCTAGTGTGGCTACTAATTCTATGTTGGTGGAGAGAATTAGTAGCAAACGAAAAATTAGTAGCCACACTATATATGTTGGGAATTAGTAGCCACCACAAGGAAAAATCCAAATTTATAGGTCCAACACAGCCTATTAGTAATCCTTTCGGGATGTGCCCAAAAATAAATCATACTAATGCGAGTTTAGGCTGAGGGTAAGCCCGGTCCCAACAATATAGAGTATCAATTGGATCATCAAAATCATCTCAAACTTTTAAAACATCCAATCTTGAAGCATCATAAGCCTATAGTTAGCCACAAAACAAGGACTTCAGAGCTCAGCTATCTAACACCTTCGCATATTTAATACGGAGTAAATTTAAAACATTCAGATTACAATACTGATTATCACTATCAATCTCATTACAAAAAAAAAACTATGATTTCATTATAATGAACCTTGATTTCACGTTGAAACTGATCGATTTGAGCTTTTGGATTTTGAGCCCCAGCCAGTGTTTTCAATATCTCCTTCCTTATGCGATCAAGTAACCGCTTCTTCTTCTGAATTTGGTTAACGAGAATACGGAACGAGAAAGAAGTGGAGTCCTTAACAATAATAATAAAAAAAAAAGGATACAAAAGTCAAATAAAATTAGAGAATAAAATTGAAGGAGTTCGTGGTTAGATTCCGGCTGAGCCCGGGTGGGGGTTTACCTGGAGTTAGGAGTATAGGAATCATCAATTTTAAGAGCATGCTATCTTTGCCCCACTTTGTACCCCATTTTGTATCCCAAAGCTTCCTAACACAAAATGTAGTAGGCTAGTAGCAATACTGGTATAATACCAGTTTCGCACTTACATTTAATATCAGGGCAAAGCCTTAGGATACAAAATGAGCTACAAATATGGAGTACAAGTAGAATTTTACTCATTTTTATGATGAAAGTACCGTAGTTACTCTGAAATTGTTGTCATGTTATGACAACACTTCTTGTTGTCAAAAGAAATGAGCTTATTTTAAAATTATATTTCAAAATAAGTCTATGGATATTAAATTTATATGATAAATTAAGACTTTTTCCGTCTTATTAAAAGTTTTCTGGTTTAGACTTTTAGCTAATTTAAGGAAGATTTATTTTGGTGTTTGATCTTGTACAGATGCCCTAAAGGTTTCTTTCTAAAAGTGATATTTCACACTAAATTTGGGTTTGGTAATCTATTTATGTATAATCTTTAATTTTAAAATTGTTACACTTATATATTATAAATTAAAATATACTCTCTCTGTCCTGGATTGTTTGTCCATTTTTTTTGGATCAAAGTTGATAAACTTTGACCCCAAATTAAATAAAAATGATATTAGATATTGATACAAAAATAATTTATTATATAAAATATTTTTATTTAATTAATATACAATATATATTTTATTTAATAATAGGTCAAAAATTGAAAACGATTAACTAAAAAAGTTAAAACTAGACAAATACTCTGAAACGGAGATAATACATACTAATACACAATATTTAGATAAAATTTAAGACTATTTTTATGTACATTCGAATAGTTGGTCACTACTTGGTCATTTGGTCTGGATGAAACCTGATCAAAGTACGGGCTGGGTCGGGCCGAGACACTACATTACGAGAATTTTCTAGGGTCGAGCCTGGTCCGGCCCGTATAACGGGCCTAACAATTGAAGCATGAGCCCGGCCCGCATGGATACTCGAGGGCTTCGGGTCGGCCCGGCCCGCCCGACAAAAACTTCAAAATAATTTAAAAATAATTTTTTCTTAAAAGAATAACAACTTAATATATTAGATATTTGATATAAAAACTATAATGAGTAAATTAAAGAAAAATTAATATATAATTGTATTTTGTTTGATATTACTACTATGTATTGAGGGTGAAATATTATTTATTGAAATAGCATAATCAATGTGTGATACGTTGCAAACAATACGGAGTAGTAAAGATGTATTTATTTTATTATATATACTTATAATTTATTTTTTCTCTCCATAAAAGTATGTATGTGTGTTTATAATAATTTGAAAGAGTTTTATTCTTTATTATTATTAGTAATGTTGTTATTGTTGTTTTATTATAATTTGTTAGAATATAAATAACTGTTCTTGGGCTACAACCACAAGCTTGAGCTTTTGGTTGAGTTGGTTCCTTGACATGGTATCAGAGCCTTGATGACCAAGAGGTCGCGAGTTCGAAACTCACCACCACCCAGTTTAAAAAGAATTAAGGTTTTACGTGCAAGGCTCAAAGAGGTCACGCCTGCACGTGATGAGGGCGTGTTAGAGTATATAATAGTCATTCTTGGGCCACAACTACAAGCTTGAGCTTTTGGTTGCGTTGGTTCCTTGACATGGTATCAGAGCCTCGTTGACTAAGAGGTCACAGGTTCGAAACTCAACGCCACCCAGTTTAAAAAAAATTAAGGTTTCACGTGAGGGGGAGTGTTAGAATATAAATAACTGTTACTGGGCCGCAACCACAAGCTTGAGCTTTTGGTTGAGTTGGTTCCTTGACATAATTATATTAATAATAAATGTTTTAATTTATTCAGCCCAGCCCGGCCCGTGGGCTTGAGCATAAACCCGAGCCCGGCCCTAAAATATTCAGTCCGCCAATTATAAAGCCTAAGCCCGACCCGTACCCTAAAATGTCAGGACCAAGCCCGCTATTTTATGGGCGGGCTTTTGCGGGCTTCCACGTGGCGCCTTTCCCTATGTGACATCAAAAAAAGGAGTAATTTTGTCCCAAAAGGAGTAATATTTCTTCTGTTCCCAAGAAATTAGCCTAGTTACTATTTTGAGTTTCGTATTTTTGAGTATACTTTTCCAAAATCCATTAAATAAAATAAAATATTTTTATCACCATTTTTATAGTCATTTTTAAATATGCAATTTCCATTTTTATTTCTTAATTAATTTATAAATAACATCAAGATAAAAGATACTCCCTCCGTCCCAGAGTATTTGTCCACTTTCGTTTTTACACACCATCCAATGCACTTCTTTAATACATTTTATCTTGTAATTTGTATATTAAAAAATTATAGAATTTATATATTACGTAATAATCTATATGTTAAGACAAATCAAACAAGATCACACATGACTATATTAAGGCTTACACATTGAGAGAATTTGATGAGTCAAAGTGCTTAGATGAATAGTTCCAAAAGTCAAAAGTGGACAAAAACGGGGGGAGGGGGAACGGAGGGAGTATGTTATTTACTACCTTGTTCAAAAGAGGATATTTTTATAGGACATATATAAATATCCATAAAACCTCTTTATTCAATTTGATTCAAAAAAGTCTAATACATCAAAACCAAAGACAAACGTGAAAGAAGTCGCGGAACTTGACCCTTTTTGGAAATAAATGTGGAAGTGCAATATGGTGTGGGGGCGGATATACCTATACTATTCCTCCCTGGCCTGCCTGCATGCACACAATATATAAAAGGGCAGTGACACCAATAATTAATCCAAGCCAAAGTAGTTAGTATTGTGTGTGCGAACATTATTCATTTCTATCTCCTCTCAATCAAACTTGTTTAATTTATTTTGCCTTCTCGATCAACCAGTATACTATACGTATTTACTTGTTCAAAATGGAAAACGGGAATCATCATCTTTCTCAGCCCGCCGCCGCCACAAAGCCGTCTAGATTCAACCGCATCTGTGTCTTCTGCGGCAGCAGCGCCGGCAAGAACCCCAGTTACCAACTCGCCGCCCTTCACCTCGCCAACCAGCTGGTACCTAATTATATATACTACTCCTTCCCCCTCCCTAAAAACTTTTCTTGTTTTTTAAAAAATTATTAGTGTTATCCCTACTAATATTTAACGTACATATCATATCACATCTATAATTCTATATACTGTTAAAATTACCCATCTAATCGTCGTACTTTTACTTATCAGATCACATCAAAAGATATTTTTAAAAACTCAATACCAAAATATTATGTGTGTGTGTTTATATATATATAATATTTGTTTTATTTCGAGATTTTAATGTATCTATATATATAAATATTAACCATATAATTTTACGCTTTCTTAAACTTTATCTGGACTTTGGATTTTAGTTTAATGCAGTGGTTTTAACGTTTAATTTTAATGTATGTAAAGATAATCTCTATACTATTGAAAAAATTATCCAAAATAGAAAACTCTAGTTAAAAATATTGTTCTAAAACAAAGATTATATAAGCAATATAATCATTTGTTTGTGTGTTTTTTTATAAATAAAATTATTTGTTTCTTTCTTTAATTTGTTTGTTTGTAATAAATAAATGACAGGTTGAAAGGAACATAGACTTGGTGTATGGAGGTGGGAGCATTGGCTTGATGGGTCTCGTCTCCCAAGCTGTTCATAATGGGGGCCGCCACGTGTTAGGGTATCATTCTCTTTTTTTTCCTTTTATGGAGTATTTAACTTGCTTTGAATTTTTTTTATTTTGTATAATAATTTTGACGGTTTCACATTTTTATTCGATTACGTACAATACTTTGATTAATACTTCCTCCGTCCCAAAAAGTTTTACACATTTTGACTAAAGTGAAAATTAAGGGAGAGATAATTTTGTGTTGACTTTCCAAAAATAACCTTGATTTGATGTGTAGAAATAGGCTATGATGTGTAGATTACAAGGAAAAAGGTATGATGTGATAGGTAGGGTTTGAAAAGTAAGGGGTAAAAATGGTTTTTTAATAGAAATGGGTAGAAGATTGTGGGACACAATTTTTTTGGGACGGAGGGAGTATTTTTTATGTACATATGGATTGATATTATTAAAATTTGATATTTCAAATGAATTAATATTGATACTCTTTATCAAATTTATATCTCTATTCATTGCATTTTTTCTAAAACGTGTTGATCAGCATGAAAAGTCAAATGAGAAGAAACGAAGTGAACGGAAATAAGATATTTTACTTTATTAATTTTTGTTTGACAGGGTGATTCCGAAAACTCTGATGCCAAGAGAGGTAATAAAATACGTAACTAAATAAGCATATATTATTCCAGAGCAATTAACTCTGTTTATTTGGTCTCATATATAGTCCCTACGGCATGTCACACTTTTTTGTCCTGTCCCTTTTACCTTTTTACAAATTAATTTCCATCCGTACATTTTTTAATTGATGGCTTTTTTGGCTTCATTACAATTGTCCTTATTAATAAGGTTAGATTCATTATAATACGGAGTAATATCTTGTTTAATAAATAATAATAATAATAATAATAATAATAATAATAATAAATAATAATAATCCATAAGTAACAGTTAACGGGAGAGACAATTGGCGAAGTGAGAGCCGTTACGGGTATGCATCAAAGAAAGGCAGAAATGGCGAAGCAAGCTGACGCTTTCATTGCCTTGCCCGGTACCTACCTATCCTCTTTTACCCCGTTTTTCTTTAAATTCACTCCGTATATTTCATCCGTATTGGAAATTTTTTTTGTTTTAACTTTTTTTTTTTGTCAAATTTGACATTATTTGATTACAAATCAAACATAATTTGAATAAATAAATTTTAAAAAATTGATACATAAAAATTCAAAACTACTCCGTATATCCTAACAAGAATCCAACTATTACCTTTGTTTCTGAGTACTTATTCAATTCTGATTTTTTTGCAATCAAATAATTTTTACAGTTAATATATAATTAAATAAAACATACGAGTATATGGTATACTAATTAAGTGAAATAGTTTGTTAAAAATATTTTATAAAATAAATTTAATAACTTTTTTTTATCAATGTCTGATACCAGTTTGATTTAGTTTGCAATCAAAGTTTGACAATTTTGACTAAATAAGTCAAAAGTGAATGAATATTCAGGGACGGAGATGGTACATTGAACTTAATAAATTATACGGAGTAATTAAAAATATTTTTTTACGATTTATGGTTAAAACAGTTTGACAAAAAAATCAAAACGGAAATGCTTTTCTAGAAAGGTAGTTTGCAAAATAATTACATCTCAAAATTAATAAGGAGTATATTAAATTTAACTTATTATGTAGTATAACTAAATATACTTTCACAATTTATAGTAAAAAATGATATAAAAAAAAGTAAATTTTTGATTTGATTTACCTGAACAATTGGACGATGGTTGAATTGGGGCAGGTGGGTACGGAACGTTAGAGGAACTACTAGAAGTCATCACATGGGCTCAGTTGGGTATTCATGAGAAACCGGTTAGTATATACCCCGGAGTATATATATTTAGTGGTAAATTTTATAATTACACGCATCATGTACATCTTTGGGCATACTCGCCCTAGTTTGAAAAATATGCACAAATGCTTTTTAAAATTTATTTCTAAAGTCATCGAAGTTTTAAAATGTTGTATTTATGTTGCACCTGGTTATTTTCTAACCTTTTTTTCGACTGAGAAGGAGACATTAATACATATTTTCTAAACTATAGGGGTAGTACTGGTGCTCATTTCTTATTTTTTTAGTTTATTTTTTGTTTTCACCTTTTTTCCTTTGATTTATTTGTTTCTTTTATTAATCAAGGTTTTATAAATTTCTTTTTAAATTTATTTTTATCATGTTCTTAAAATTTAAAATTATTTTTGTTTGTGAAAAAATAATTAACATCAATTTTATCGATACATCACGAATTAACACTTTTTATTTTTTTGTTTTCCAAAATAAGAACTTTAAAAAATGAGGAATAAAATAATAAATAAAATAAAAAAGAAAAAAAATTGAATATCCTTTTTGGACATCCCAATTCTATGGACTTTTTTATGTGTTCTGAAAAATTCTTTTTATATAACTCTTTTTTGCATGTTTCAATTTTTTTCATTTTGTTTTTCTATATTTTTATTTTTATGTTATTATTATGTATTTTCTTTTTTAACTTACCAAAAATTATTCTAGAAAAAAAATTGAAAATGTATAATTTGAGATAGTGAAGTAATTGCTTTTTTTGTTTTTTATTTCAAAGGCAATGAATTTTAAATATTTTAAAACATTATAAAAAGAAATTTAAAAAATTTTTCTAGGAAAATGAAACAAAGAGATAAAAAACACTCCCTCTCTTATTTTTTTCTTTCACCAAAACAATTCTTTTTTCTATTAAAACCACTCTTTTAATTTATTCCTACTATTTTTTATCCTACCTATCACATCATATTTTTTATTAATAATTTATCCGTAACATTTTACTTTTACTCATCACGTCAAAGACAAAATTGAAAAGTTAACTACAAAATACGGACCCCACATATTTGTAGTTGGCTTTTCAATTTTGTGTTTGACGTGATGAGTAAAAGTAAAATGTGACAAATAAATTATAATGGATGAATGACACTATGGCTGCAGGTGGGTCTGCTGAACGTGGATGGGTACTATAATTCACTTCTGTGTTTCATAGACAAAGCTGTGGACGAAGGATTCATCCACCCTTCTGCCCGCCACATTATTGTCTCCGCCCCTACTGCCCACGAACTCATCTCCAAGCTTGAGGTACCTTACTATATATACTTACTCGATCTGCCCGCCCTGACCGCATTTTTTATTATCTACTCTCTCTATTCTAAAAACTCTTTCATTTTTATTTTTTTCTTGTCCCAAAAAATCATTCTGTATTCTATTAAAAAATCATTTTACCTTTACTTATTTTAAGTTTTAACATACTTGTTGCATCATATATTTTTTTTACTAATAATCTACAATCGCATCCTATTTTTACACATTACATCAAGGATATTTTTGAAAAATCGACACAAAAATATCCATATCTTAAATTTTTCAAAAGTCCAATGAAAATATTTTTATGGGAGGGAAGAAGTAGTATATAGATCTACGTAATTAATTGTAATATGATGATGATTAGAAAGATAATGAGTCATTAAGGCGAGGCTATATTTAATGTAATATAATAAGATGTGTGTGTAAATATGTGTATAGGATTATGTTCCAAAGCACAATGAGGCAGCACCAAAGTTAAGATGGGAGATGGAGCAACAACTGGGCTTCACAACAGCCAAATCTGAAATCGCACGTTAAGATCGATCAGATTACCTCAATTAATTAATCATTACCCGTATAGTAGTGATTTTAATTATGGGATGAATGTGTTGAGTGATTTAGTTAATTTGTCTAAATGTTCTTTTATTTATGTACATGCTATATAGCTAGGCCTGCATGTGTGTGCATGCATGTAATAGTGGAATAAACAATAATACTCCGTTCTATGTTTAATTTAACCGTATACTCCGTATTTTTTAAATTTTTAAATAATTATTAATATTATATTAATAAGAATAATAAACTGTCAAATTCATTATACACAAACACACACACACGAATTTGGGATGCCTTCCGAAAATGGGCCTTGGCGAGGTGACCATTCAGTCCATGCCTTGAACCGCCGATGTCCACACGGCCCACACCCTATGGCCTAAGAGATTACGCTTTTAGTCTCTGTTAGGCATTAGTTTCATCGTTTTTAAAATGCTATTCAACAATATCTTTTAGCACTAGCACTTCAAAGTTAATGTGTATCATCAAAAAAATATCAGAAATATTAACAATAATTACAAAGGTTGCTCCCACTTGGTATGAAACTGGTTGTAGCGTGGGGCCAGGCCAGTCTTGAGATTTTGGATACCCAAAAATTAAAATTTAGACCTTTTTTACATACATTAACACCCAAGTTTTTTGGATTATGATTTGTATCCAAGTAGCTTTTAAAAAAAAAGATATTAGTACAAGTTATATTAGTTTATTTTTATTTTAATTAACCTCTACTATATACATATGCACAGTAACAAAGTCCATATTTCAACATTCAAAAGGAAGATAATATATTTTAAGTGAAATTTGCACTAAATAGGACTAAAACATAATGACTTTTCTAATATAAGACTTAATTTTTTTTATTTCCTGAATAGGACTTAATAATGACCTAATGGAAGGAATAATGTCTAGTAATGATGGACATTTATTTGAATAATGACTACTTAATAATAACCAAAGGACCTACATTGAGAAATAAAAACATATGGTCCTATATTGGGAAAGTCATTATGTTTTAGTCCTATTTAGATAAATTTCTCGTTTTTTAAAGATCAAATGAATTGAATAACCACAAATTAAAATAAAATAAGACAGTAATTTAATTAATACGGAGTATTAAAGCCTACACGTCATTTCTCTTGGAGAGAGATTGCTGAGCCAACACATGGCCATTATTTTTACCAAACGAGCTGAGCCGAAATTCATCTCCTCTTTTAAAAAAAATTTACATCAACCATTATGCATTTACATGATATGAATATATGAAGGTAGGAATTTGAAGATATGGGTAAAGCATATACACATATCAACATATATATACATTATTTCATCATACAAAGGACTGAATCACAGAAGACGTGGTGACCAGACCAGAAAGAAGGCCAACAAGGAGTGCACTATTATAAGTAGTTGGCTCCCCCTGCATTGAGTTGTTCCTCGCATCAACATAGCTCTCATTCTGAAATGGCCCGCCAACTAGTGCACCAACCGCGACGTTCGGGTTCGGTTTGGGCGAGTGGAGCCATTTGAATCCTTCTTTGCAACCGCTTTTCTCGCCCGCGGGGATCGAGGCTCCCCTGTGATGAACGTAGGTTGGGTACTTTTCTCCATACCCAACAAGGTAGCTCATCTCCATTGGGTTGTCTCCTAGCACATAATCAGCCTATAACACAAAAGGGGGCATTGAAAGTGTGGTGGAAAAAATTTAACTAGTACTCCCTAGCTCCTTCCCAAAAAGTCTGTCCCGTTTCGAAAAAATTGCGTCCCTTAAAGTCCGTCCCATTTCTATTAAAAAACCACTTTTACCTCTTACTTTTTCATACCCTACCTATCACATTATACCTTTTTCCTAATAATCTACTAATCACATCCTACTTTAACCCATCACATCAAGGGTATTTTTGGAAAGTCAACACCAAAATATCCCTCCTTATTTTACCACTTTAGTCAAAATGGGACAAACTTTTTGGGACGGAGGGAGTATTACATTGTCCGCTTTAGGCAGGTGAAAAAAAAGGACCTGTGACATGGCGAATTTTCGGAGTTCGTATGGTGTAAAATCTTTTCCATCGCACGACAATTTTGTGGTGCGAGAAGTGCGCATGTAATCACTATAAACAACCGCTAAGAAGGCCGATGCGACCGGATGTTGGAGAGCGTTCCATTCGCTTACCCATATTAAACCCGCTGCAAAAACAACAATGTTTGTGATTAGTGTCAGCGTTTTTAATGATTTTTTGTTAATAATAATTATGGTCAAAACAATGAAGATAAATGCTAAATGCCAAACAGAGCCTTACAGTCTGTTCTGCTGGAAGTGGTAGTTGGGGAGGTAGGTAAGAGGCCACACATAATGGCTTCTGCAGTGCCCCTATACTTCTTGAGAGTTACAGAGTTTGAGAGGCCTTTTCTACTGAAGAAACTCACTCTAGAAATCAAAACCTGAAACACAAAACCATTCTATTAATTCAAACCATACAAACACGGTTAAGAAACCAACTGAACCAAAAGCTCAAGTTTGTTTATTTGCACCTGAGCACCTGGAAGCTTGTTGTCCCAGCTAAACCAGGTTGGACTCCCCCACTGAACAAACTCATCTGCATTCTCCCCAGTGGCATACTCGTAGTACAACCGATCCCCGGTCGCGTGGTGGAGCCAAGCTGCGGCCCACAAGAGCTCATCACCGTACCCGGTCGAATTGTAATAACTGGCTACTTGGGCGATGTTTTGGCTGTACGAGCCGCGGTGCTTGTCTGCAAAGACAAACAGCTCTTTGGCATGCTTCAGAAGCAGTGTGGAGTAACCGGCGTTGGTGGACTTAAACACAAGGGACGCGGCTGCCATTGCTGCAGAGGTTTCGGCTGCAACCTCTGTGCCAGGGACAGAAGTGTTCACTTGGACCAATGGCCTGTCGCCGTTCATGTCTTCTGGTCTTTCCCAACAACTATGGTCGCGTCCCGCGTCCCCCACCTTCCATAACAAAATAAATTGGACTCAATTTTTTTAGTATGATTTGGTCCAAGTGTCTTATGGCTTAGTTGAACAATAATGAGAACAAAAAATTGAAAATTACAAATAGGAAATATAAAAGGTAAGAAAACCTTAAACATTATGCTCCTCTCTCATGAACAATCAAAGCTAAAAGGAGAGAGGTAGTCAGGTGTGGAACCTGGATGTACAAGACATTAGGAGAGGGGTGTGCATTGATCAAGAAATCCGTTATCCATTTAAGCGAATCGCGGGCGGGTTCGAGCTGGTTCACGACCCCCATACGGTCTCCATATTCGAGGATGGCCCACGACAACACGGTCGCGGTGTAAGCCATTGGGAACCCAAACTTAATGAGGTCGCCCGCGTCATACATTCCTTTACTCAGATCAATCTTTGCTTCACTCCCATCTTTGAGAGCCGAATCCCCCCTCCACGGTATTTCGTTCTTCTCCAACTTGCCAGCTACAAGTACATTTCAACCCGCAAATAACATGTACGAAAACAAACAATGACTGAATTCAACCTTTTAGTACTCTGAATGATTTACCTCATCTCAGTGACCTGTACTCAATCTTAAATTCTATCATAAATGTAAATCAATCAAATCCAAATCCACCGCGATTCCTATTTTATATTGATATAATGCAGTGGATGGCTAAACTACTTTGGAATTCTTTGGAAACAGCTACTTTTTAATGACATTTTAGGACGAATGCAAAAAGAATGACCACATGGTCCCTTTGAAAGGAGGTAAATTGAACTTTAATCATATTGGACACTGACAAATCAGGAATGAATATATACCCACCCTTTTGAATGGCAAAGAACTGCAATGCCACTTTGAGAGCATCAGCATACTTCTTGTTGGTGACTCCGGGCGGCTCCGGGAACCCTCCATCTTTGGGATTCATGAGCACATAAATGGACAACCCGATAGCCACCGCGACAATCGCCGCCAAACACCACCCAAAACATCTCTCTCTGGGCTTCGTCTTCCTCCCCATTGTTTATCAATTCATCTGCATCATTACATTACACCAACAACAACATTACATTACATTACATTAAAAAGAGTTTTGCTTTTCTTTCTGTTTCGGACAATTCGTATGAATCAAGGGGAAATTGGGATCATTTGAAAAACACCCAGATTCTATTTTTAAGGGGGGGAAATGGGGGAAACAAATAAAAGAGAGAAAAGAATTGGAGAAATGAAATGTTTGATAATGGTGGGTTCTGGGGAAGACATTGATGAGAAGGGGTGTTTGGGTCACCGATTGAATGTGGAAGAGAGAGAGAGAGAGAGAGAGAGAGAGAGAGAGAGAGAGAGAGAGAGAGCACCGACCGAGGGGGGCCGGGTTGTCGCCGAAAACAAAGGAATGAAGTTTGCCTCCTCAAGTTGTTGCAGCCAGGTGATGGCTACCCTTCAGCTTTTGAAAGTTCTACGGACGGGAGGAGAAGAAGAGTACTCTGTATTATTTTGCCACCAACCTCCTTGGCTACCTCCTCCCAAAACGGCTTCTTCAATTATGTTGGATGGTCTAAGTCAAAATTAATTTGAGAATGAACTTGAAGGTGTTCGAGTGTGTTCGGCTCGAAACAGAGTGAAGGGTTTATTAGGATTAAAATCGTCAATTTACGAACGGCGCACCGCAGTTGGCCCAAGTCATCCCATTACATTAGGGCAGGTCCCGAAAAATGAAAAAAATAAAATTTTCTATGTCCAAAATTTACATTTTGGGCCCTATTTTATTTTTTAGAATACTTATGCTTTAAAATTATTAACAAATTTAAAAATATGAGGCCTTAAAATTTTAAGGACCCTGTGCGATTGGCTATTTTGCTCATCCCCCGGGCGACCCATGCGTTACATGATATTCCAATATCATGGGAACCCTTCCCTAGCCACTATTCTATATTCTACGGAGTATTTCTTATATTTTTATTGATAATTTAATAAAATATAAATATCTTGTAGATTTTTTTAATGTAATTTTCTAAGTATATAATTCATCTGTCTTACTCCATCCGTACCAATTTAAATCGTCTATTGTTATTTACAATGTCTGATTAAAATTATTTTCAATTCAATTTGCTTTAAAATTTGTATGAAATTAAAAAATAAAATTCATATATTTAAAAATTACATAAAAAATTTTACAAAATAAGAGATAAGGAAACTATATTATTTTCTCAAATGGTTAAAGTTTTACTCAGTAAGTGATTTAAAAAATAGGTAACTTAAATTTATAGAGAGAGAGTATATTTGCATTTTTTTACAGTTTTTAATGTACCACTTTATTATTACGGAGTAGTATTTTTCATTTATGTGTGGATGTATATTACCTCGGAGTATAAAAATGTGATGTTTTAAAATAATGTTTCAAAATAAATTGATTATCAGTATTAAATTGATATCATAATTTATTTTAATTTTTGGAAATTTGCAGTCAATGTTCAAAAAATGTGGTCATCAAGGTTAAATGTGAAAGAAAGATATGTAATGGAGATAATCATAAATATTTAGTAATCTACATTAAATTGGATTCATATTCAATTTATGAATCTTAGTATATAAATATCAATAAAGCATTGAACTTTTTGCAAAAAAAAAAAAATCATTTGTCAAACCATAAAAATGTGAAAATATTCACATTTACATGTAAATTTTAAGATCATCTAAGCATAACTCTTATTTGAAATACTGTAATACCTCGTGAACAATTAGTTTGAAAAAAATGGAATTGATATTACCAAAAAAGTACATTCCAAAAGTTAAAATATTACTACTCCGTCCCACTGGAAAATTTTGCATTTTTTCTTAATCTCAAAAAAAAAATACGAGTAGAACTTTCTATTTATCAAAAATTTTATGTGACTTAGGACCCGTTAGTCGTTAGATATTTTTGGAGGCATAAAAGTTCTTAAATCTAAAAAAGAAAGGAGAAAGAGCAAAATAGAACTAAAACATCGAAAATATATTAAAATAGGACTTTCATATTTTTATCTTCGAAATAAGAATTACATTACCAAAAAAGTATAGTAATAATGTGCACATGTACAGTACCACATAACACAATACAAAATTCTATTTCAGAGAAAAATATAGAAATCCTATTTTAATATTCTTCTCTATGTTTTAGTCATATTTAAGGTAATTTCAAAAAAATTAATTGTTTAGAGAAATTCGAATCATGAATTAATTAATGATAGGAGGGATGACATGCAAACGAGAGTGGCCGACAGTGACACAGGTAGCCAGTATCGAAGCATGTTCAACGATTGAAGAAAATATAAAACCCTCATATGCATATCTCTCTAAAATTTGATCAAGTGATATCAAAACCATCCATTTAGAAGATTTTTGATATCTCAAAATATCAAATACGAAATCTCTTTCGGTTTTACCAAAGATAAAAAAAATTCTAATATCCAGAAATATTAGAACTCATCTCAGTCGCTCATCAAACGCACCATTATATTTTTTTTCTTACACTAATGTTAACCACATAATTATATGACCGAGGGGTCATTTTTTTCTTTCTACACTATTCACTCTACCAGTGGCTCATTTTTTGTTATTTATTTATTTATTACGAGTATGCATAAAAAACATAGGTATATGCAAAATTATTAGATTTATCTCAATATAAACTCTGCTAATAATTGTTTGAATTCTATAAACTTTACTAGGGAGTAATGATATTTTATTTGTGCATCGTAAAATCCAAATGATGCGATTATCTTGAAATAAAAGTACTTGTTTAAAATTTTAAAAAATCAAAATTGAACACATGACTTCATAGTTTATACACAAAATATTGGAGTTCCTCATTCTAAAAATGCTTTTTGTGAACCATAGATGACCACTTTATAATATGATCCATATTTGAAGGGAGATGGGATAAAATGATGATATATGCCTGATGCCTCCACGGATGTCCGGCCTTCTCACATGCATCGAGTATGTAGTGAAAAGACAAGGCATCCGTGAGAGCAACAACATTCTCAATTCCCAAACATCAAAAAACGTACCCCGTAGTTGATTTCTATAATAACCGGTCTTGTAGAGCATCATATTAGAGCCTCTAGCAATGCCTAAAAAAACACTATGAAGCTTATAACAAAGAACTTAAGAAAAAAATTTGCCAAGTTATAATAATATGCTGCTACCTGCCACTAGAATCAGGGTGTATATACCAGCGCAGCTCACGATCCTTTGCTATACTGAAAAAAAAAAATATCAATGGTGGTGTCTCCTGACTCAATCAGAGAAAAAATTAGTCAACCTGCCCTGCAACCAAGTCAGGCGTACGCTGCTATGAAGAGAGAGAAACATCTCCCTCAGAGTTGGATCCTCAAACAAGTCAAGAGCCGGGTAGTAGAGGGCGTCGTGTATGCCTTCTATATCATCCAAGGCTTGTATACACTTACTTATAGTGAACTTTTTGTCGGTTTGGAGTGGAGGACCATAGCCAAGTGAACCCACCACCATCTTTGATGAAGCTATCATCTCCTGTAAGGTTTGAGAGATAACGTTGATCATCTCACCATCATCCCTGCTGTTCTCAGCTGAATCCTCAGGGAGACGCTTTCTTTTCTTCTCCGTTCCACTCTTACCCCCCATGGATCCGGGGAAGGATGTCAGAGGGAGTGGGGTCATGGGGGACGCATTTTCGCTGTCTATAAAAGAGGTGTGATGATCTACTGCCACTGCAACAGCTGATTTGTCCAATTCTCCATAGTGACTTGATTGTGCATACTTGCCATCAGCATCAGGTTCTTCAAAAATCAAACATAATTCCTCATAGACTGGGCACTCCTTGATCTTGCTTGTTTCCGGCTTCGGTTGACCCTAAATTGTAAATCATATATAAGATAAAGCAAGAGATGAGAGAGAAAACAATAACACTTAAATGCCCCCCCCCAACCCCCGCCAGTACATTTATACCCTCACATGAATTAATAACATTATAATGTGGATGTGTGTTGATATTTTCAGAAAGGTAGTGTGCAACATGGGGTATTGGTGTAACAAATGATTTCAACGTTCCGTCCCAAAAAATAGTAATGTTTTGTCAAAGGTAAAACTAAGCTTTGGGAAGGTACAACTCTTGTAAATCATCACTCATACTTGACACTTTTTTGGGATAAATCACATGAAAGTTGATGGAGATTAGCTTCCTTTATTGAAATAAGACTCTTTTCAGGACAAAAATAAGTTTAATAAGAGGACCCTTTTTTTATGACAAAGAAAGTAGAATAATACTCTAGGAGAGGGGTGTACCACAATGTCTTCCCAAAGATCAAAACCATCAAAGCAAGGATCCACCAAAGAATCATTTTGACCAGATGAAGATGACTTGAAAGCATAGTAACGTGTCCGGAGTACATCAAGGTGTTTCCTCAACTGATTGTTGTTGAAATCGAGGTTTGTCAATCTGTTAAATTCACTCCGTATGCAATTCCAAGTTTTCTTATCAAAAACATTGTTTGGCCGATTTCCCAGCCGAATCTGCTCAACAACAAGTTCCGCAAACACCTTATCAAGGGACGGTGTCCATCTCCTTCTTAGGCGTTCTTGCTTTGGTTGTTGATCATTAGTATTTATATCCATCTGCATATTTGCACCATTCAATTTCAAACTGTTCATATATAGGGAGTATATGTAGTGAACACTAGATATTTTAGGATGCAGCACATTTTGCAAACATAATTCCTTGGAAAAATCAACACTCTACAGCTTAAATATTAATGCCTATTTGGTAGAACATAAAATGATTGAATTATTTCAATCCGTCCAAGTAACTGAAGGTAGAAGGAGCATATTCTCCTCCAGTCCTCTTATTTGAGCCCAAAAAGTAATCATTGCACTACTTTGGTTTTATACTTTTATTGGCCAGCATACTGAAATATGAGTGTTGCGGTGGAAAGTATGGCTATAAGACTACAAACAACCACAACAACCCAGTTGAATCCCACAAAAGTAGGGTATGGGGAGGGTGTGTGTACGAAACCTTACCCCTACTAGAAAGTAGAGAGCTTGTTTCCAAAGAGACCCCCGGCTCAAGCACCACGGGTAATCATGTTTGCAGCCTCACCCCTGTGTTTAAAACATAGAGGGGCTGTTTCTAGATGACCCATGATGAGCGTTGAAAGTTGCATTGACTAACTGCTAGTTCAATATTAAAAGAAGCACGGAGCCACGGACAGTTTAAAAAACCATTTTGCTGTATTCCATCATACCTCAAAGCCAAAAAAGAGTGAAACTTTGGCTCCATCAGAGATCATGGTTATAAGACTGATAAGCAAAATATGAACCATATCAAACAGATACTACCTTGTTATTAAAAGAAGCACAAACAGTTTAAAAAACCATTTTGCTGTATTCCATCATACCCCAAAGTCAAAAAAGAGTGAAACTTTGGCTCCATCAGAGATCATGGTTATAAGACCGATAAGCAAAATATGAACCATCAAACAGATACTACCTTGTGCGTCCGTAGGCAGTTTTTAGGACTCGATTTCTATAGCACATATTAACAAAAAGTGTTAACTAAAGTACAGAAAGTCTAAAAGCACACATTTTGAGACAAAATATGAAAGGACTAATTATGCAATGGTCAATTCTACTGGAGTAAAATGACACAAAATAATTGGGGACCTATGTCACAATCTTTCCTAAATTAAAATAAATTAGTTGTGGTTAAAACTTAAAAGTTCTCTATCTTAAGTTTTAACAATCAAAAAGCTATCCCATACCACCTGCAAAGGTAGCAAAGTTGTTCTAGTTCTGAACATCGTGACCGCAAGGTCCCATGTTCAAATCCAACAAAGGGGACTACCTATTTGCATTCTTGGTTGAGGTGACTGGCTATGACTCCGCTGAGTATGATTTACACACTCATGCTTATTTGCGGGCTAGAGCCATTAGACTAATGGGTGCCGCTACACACTCTAAGGTAGAGGAGGTAGGTTTGTCACATCATAAAATATAAAAGGTATCCCATTCACATTTTAACATGATCGAAAATTAAACAATAACTTTAAAACCAAAGCTTAAACGATCGAAAATTGGATAAATTCACATTTTGAGTGTTATGACCAGTTTGGGGAACTGCCTTATTTAGAAAAAATGGGTCATGTAAGAACAAACCTAAACATACTTCAAAACAATCCATACAAATTGAGAGGGAATGGTGGTTTGCACCAAAGAAGGCCTAGTGATATGCTGGTTAAAAGAATTGAGGGTGGATAAATGAATTCTGCAAAAGAACAAAAGAGAGACCCAAAAAGGTGTGGGATGAAGTGATTAGGGCAAGAGGGTTGTAATGGATGGAAAGACATTGCAAGAGAGCATTTTAGCCAATGAACGAATGTGATTCTCATCTTGGTTCATTAAGCCATCTCCAAGTTACCTGGGACAATGGGTTGTTGTTTTTGTTAATGTGTGTGAATATGCATGAAATTTAAATTATAAGAATGAATTATACAGAGTATACAAATAGCTATATGGAGTATATACTTATCTATTTCACTAACAATTTCTGTTTATACGAAATATTAGTTTTCTTCTGTTCAAATTTAACTAATATAGGTTCAATTTACTCCGTATTTTCCTTGTAACCGTATTGAAAGACCAAAGGTTTGGTCCAAACAAATCCATAGACTATAGTTATAGATAAATATAAGAACAAAGAAAATATGAAAGAGAAATATTATTAAAAAAATAACATTAAAAATTAATTTGCAAAATTACAGATATTTTAATGTAATAAATAAACCTAATGTTTAGAAATGAAATAATACAATTGAATCAGTCTGCAAAAACTTACAAATAAAAACATCTAAATCGCAAATATGAAAAACTAAATCGAACAAGGCAATTACTTCTCCGAAACGTGAAAATAGAATCTGTAGGGCAATGGTGTCTCATGCGCATCTTGGAAAATACAAGGATAACAGAACATGAACATCCGTAGACTGGTGTTTCAGATTTGGAATTTTCGACCGTAGATCTAAAAGATGATTAATGATTCAGACATCTAAATCAGGGATAACTGAAACAAGAATATTAGATGATGGTGGGATTGAAGCAGGGGAGAATGAAGAAGATGGAGGCGTTGAGCACAAAAGAATAAAATTACCTGGACGAGACGTGGAAGAACGAAGAAGAAGATGAAGAACTACAGTGAATAGTTGAATCGGAGGAGGCCGGCCATACCCCTGGAATGTTTTGATACTTTTGTACGGTGAAGTAATTGTGCAAACAATAACTTAAAATTGGGCCGGGCTTTAAATATTTTCAGTCCTACGCTCGAAAATTCATTATTTTTTTAGTTTTGAGATATGATGGAATATATCATGACTCTTTCAAATCTTTATACATCTTTTAGTAATGAAATAGTAGTTAGTTAATGTATCTTTTGATGTTCGTCGTGAATCAGTTGAAAATAGATACTCTATGTTGTAAACATAAAGTCAGGCTGCGTGCGTGATTACATGTGGTGCTTGCACTAGGGTCTATTTGAAAATAGTATCTCTACTTTTGAGTAGGAGTAAGATCAACGTTCACATGCATTCCCTAAATCTTAGTTTTATAAGATTCAACTGAATTGTTGTTGCTAGCGGGCTACGCTTTAGACATTTAGATGAGACAATATATAATACTGACCGGCGTCAACCATAGTACCAATTATTTTGGGATCGTAGTAAAACTCTTGGCGAGGGAGGCAAATTTTGAAACCAGATCAAGATCGGAGAAGGACGATCAGTTTCAGCGTATCAAAATTGCGAGTGAGAGTCGTTGCCAAACAAACGTCTGGGTGGGAGGTGATGGGGGTATTTCTCTATAAATATCTCTACAGTTCTACACAACCATCTCTATTTTCGAAGGGGCGGATTTGGAAATCAGATCAAGACCGGAGGAAAGAGGTTCAGTTTTAGTTAATCAGTGTCATTGGTTCAGTGTAGGTCTTGATTTTTTTAATTCTTTTTTTCCTATAAACATCTATACAATTCTACTTCATACTTTTTGACACACAATCATCTCTATTTTTTAATACTTTTTGAAATACAATCATCTCTATTTTTTACGGAGTAATATCTACTCCATATTAATTTTGTGAAAACATACTCCATCTACTTTTACCACACTATGTGATCTTCAATTATGTTTGTTTTGGTTGTTGTAACCTTTTATGCCTTTCATCCTTTCAAACTTTATTTTACAAAGTATGTGCCTTATCAAGTAGCTAAACAATGTATAAGCTTTCATTATAATTATTTCATCTAAGCTATGCTTGTTTACATGGATTCGTGAGTGAAATTGAGCTTATTTCTCGAGTATTTCATGTATGTATACAAATAAGTATGACTTATTTTTGAGGGAAAAGTAAACTAATTAATAGGGTCTCTTAAGACACCCATGCATGTCATGACCACTTGAGGAAAAAATAAACTTAATAAACATGGATTGAGAGGATGTGTGAGCGTGTAATATCATCGAGAAATTAGAATTTAGACCCTTAGTTGTGATTTGTACACCCTCAGTTCAAAACAAAGTGATTTGTCAAGTAATTTTTGTTTGTGTACGTAATGTAAAAAGAACTAAAATATATGTTTGGTGTGTGGTACCTATGGATGAACAACATTACAATAATAATAATGATGTTAACAAAGAAGTGAGCGAGATTACTATGTATGCACATGTTTGGTTGTTTTTTACGAACATAGTATCAAATAAGTGGAATAATGTTGCTAACGGTTTTGATACTTCGAGGGATAACAGAAGATGTATTTGATGAAATGTAAGAATAACAAATAACAATTGTAATAATAATAGTAATAATAATGATGCTCCTTCCAAGTCATCCGCTCGTAATTTTGTCTTTCATTATTCTCAACACCGCCTGGTCCATTGGCAATATTTGTGTGTATGATTCTAAATTTCTCCAACTCTAGTTTTTGGGTCTCGATCTCTAGTCTTCCTTTCTACACCACCGCAGCTTCCGAGGCGACTTATTGCTTAAGTCGGAGCTTCTTTGTATGAAAATGATTGAACGAGTTAATGCGCGTCAGAAGCTCACCAAATCTCGTTGAGCCCTTGGTGCCGGAAGATAATAACTCCTTCTTTGCTTTCCATCCCCACAAGCCTTATTGACTCTGTAATTGGGATTTCATCGTCAGAATCTGTTAAAGAGTATCCCACATCGGAACTTGAAGAGAAAATAAACCGGTATATAAGCCCTTGAGTTGAACTAACTAATCGATTGGATTCAATCTTTTAATGTTGTTCAACTCAAGTGTCTTATAGCCCAATCCAGTTATCCCTACCCCATCCTAAATTCTATCATGATAAACAGGCCACAGGCCGTTGGGTATGGACTTCCAGACGAGCAATCGTGTTAAACAGGCCACAGGCCGTTGGGTACATACTCCATACGGACAACTGGGCTAAAGACTAACGGGGCGCTAGGAATGAACGTCTAGACGGACACCTTGACAAACGAGGTGGGCTAAAACTTGCTCTGATACCATGATAAAATTTAGGATGGGGTAGAGATAACTGGATTGGGCTATAAGACACTTGAGTTGAACAACATTAAAAGATTGAATCTAATCGATTAGTTAGTTCAACTCAAGGGCTTATATACCGGTTTATTTTCTCTTCAAGTTCCGATGTGGGATACTCTTTAACAAAGTCATCAGGGTCGACAAATGGGTAACGTGCATCCGATGCCCCGCCCTTACGATCGTCTGACTCAGGCGCTTTAGATCTTTTGAGGCCCATTGCACCTCTCAGACCTTGTGTGGCACCGGCTCGCACTTTGGACATGTGCTAGAATTTCTCACACCGTTCGCCGCATGCGCAAAGATGCCATGCTCTGCGTGATAATTATTTTTTAGGGCAGCAATCGACATGTCCTCGTCACTAGTATCGCTACGGTGTGTCCATGGCTTTTTGATAAAAACAGCTAAACCACCCTGCATTTTTGTTCATGTCTCGAAACTTGGAACTAATAGAGTGAAATCACCGGTAAGGCGATTCTTGGAGGAGCTCATGAAATTTTGTTCATGACTTTATTCCATAAACCATCACTAGTTTGCGCGTCGTCTACTTTTTCAAAAAGTTGCAATTTTAAAAATATATTTAAAAAGGATGTATAAAAATATTACCTTTTATGGGGTCTTCAGAGATGATAACTCAAGCTCTCGCCAACACATCCTCTGCTTGTAGCATCCATGGTTTGTTGGTGTTTGTTCTTCTTGGGTCTGTGGAACCTCTTTTTTAATTCTTTTTCACGGCTTGACTCCTCAAATAATGTTTCGGGCACAACCTCATTCATAGCAAAAATGTCTTCCGTTTGGGGTTGAAATGAATGTGGCGGTGATGTAGGGGTGTAGTGCAGTGGGTATGATGGTGGCGGCGGGGTGCGAGTGTAGTACGATTGGGACGTTTGCGGTGGAATGATATACGTAGTACGGTGTGTATGGCATGGTTAGGACGTTTGCCAATTACAAAACTAGCCTGGTTGAAATTTGCATATGGTTGAAACACAAGCCAATTTGATTGGTTTGTGTCCATTACTTATGTTTTAGTCTTATTTAATGCAAATTTTACTTTTAAAAAAATGGAAAATAAGATAGTTTAAAGAAAAGAGTAAAGAAAGATGAGTAATAATATTTAGCAGAGAAGACTTGATGAATGTTCAAGGTCGAAAAAGTGGTTTAAATAAAGACGGATGTTTTATACTTTTTTGAACTCCCAACGGTCACCACCCCTCAAAATCAAAATTTTTTAAACAGAGATAACGACCGTAAAAAAAGGGGGGCAAAAACAAGAAAAAGGTACCCCTCATTAGATCGTGGAGCTCGACATCTGCCTCACTCTCACGGAGAACGCCGATCGGGGGGTTCCCTGTCGACACACGGCACCACTTGACACGCCGAGCCCCATACCCAACAACCTAACGAGGGTATTCATATAGAGAGCATAAATGCTTCATTAACCTTAATACGATCCACTTTTTCCGATATTTGTTTGGGTAAATTTAGGAAACTTCCAAAATCATTCTCTTAGTTTTGGTAACTGAATCTAATAGTTGGGTGTTATTCTTTGTATGAATGAGAATAGAAAATGGATAGATAGAAAATAACGAGAAGTAGAATGATGATAAGAAAATGGAAAGAAAAATAATTAATGGTGTAATAGTTTGGATGAGTAGAAAATGAAGAAAAGTTATACTCCTTCCGTCCCACAAAAAAGTTCCAATTTTGACCATAAATTGGTCAAACAGTTACACGCTTTGACCATAAATTAAATATAATCTAAATAAAGAAATGCCAAAAAAAATTGAGATATCAAAACTAGATCTTAAGATGAATCCAATTATATTAAATTTATTTTATAATTCAATATACCTTTGTAGTCAAAGCGTGTAAATATTTGACTAAATACTATTCAAAATGGGAACTTTTTTGTGGGACGGAAGGAGTATAATTTTGGTACTGTAATATTCCGTTCATAAAATTGATGGTTCTCTTGCAGGGTAGTATCTGGTTTTATCTTTTATGTTTGTACTTTGTATGAGACGAAATGACTATACGGTTACACAATATATACCCGTTTCATCCGAGGCTAATAATGTCGTCGATATGTCCGAGTGGTTAAGGAGACAGACTTGAAATCTCTTGGGCTTCGCCCGCGCAGGTTCGATCCCTGCTGTCGACGTTTACTTTTTGCGTTAATTTTGCGAGTTGTTTAATTTCTTAATTTTTGTACTTTTTTTAATCTAAATGAAAATTTTTATAAATAATATCTCACACATCAACTACAAATCTACTCCCTCCGTCCTATAATGATCTTCCCAGAGCACTATTCCAACTTCACGGAAATTTATATTTATTTGTATTTTTTCATGGCCTATATATGATAAAATAAAATATTCTTGTCACTACTTGTTTTGTTGAACTTTTGGTGTAGTTTTTAAATATGTATGTTTTATTTTTTATTTCTATACCAATATTTAAATAAAATAAATTGAAAAAACTTGGGATTTTTCTTCGTTTTGCGAACTGGGAAGATCATTATAGGACGGAGGGAGTAATTCATAAAGAAAAACAGCGAGTTATAATGCCAATTAACTTGTAAAATATTTACTAAAAACACTAATGTCATTTGAGAGAAAAGACCAAAGTAGGACTAAAACATTGAAAATATACCAAAATAGGACTTCCATATTTTTATTCCCGAAATAGGACTTACATTACCAAACATGGTCATGTACATTACCAAAAAAGTATAGTAATGTGCACATGTACACTGCCACATTACCACAGTGAAAAGTCACATTACCACAGTGCAAAGTCCTATTTCGGGGGAAAAAACATGAAAGTCTTATTTTGGTACTTTTCCCTATGGTTTAGTCCTATTTAGAGTGATTTCTAATGTCATTTTTTAAAAAATACTGTCAATTTTAATTTATATCTATAAAAAATAGTAATCTATAAAACTATTAATGTTACTAAAATGACTCAAGTGATTCTTTTAACTTTTTTCTTAACAAAGTATACATTTCCTTCGTCTCGAATTAATTGTTTTACTTATTTTTTGTCTTAATTTTTTACATAACAAAATATACATTTCCTTCGTCTCGAATTAATCGTTTTACTTTTATTTAGTCTGTTTCAAAATAAATATTTCACTTCCTTATTTTTCTAATAAAGTAAAAAAATATATGTTCCACAATCTTTGTCTTTCCTCTAATCAAATTCCAACAACTCAGTTTTAATTTGCCAACACCTTTCTTAAAGTACATGAAATCAATCTGGAACGATTAGTTCTGGAACGATTAGTTCAGGATGAAAGGAGTACAAGAATAATAATGCTTCGTAAAAGATAATAATGCTATGAGAATAAAATTTCAAATTTCTATGGGATTTTTTTTTATTTTTATTTATTTTTCATCATAAAATCTATACAAGAGCCATGAGTATCATAAAAATTAGAATTTTAATTCTTTATAGAATTAATTATTTGTATTTTAAACTAAAACCAAAATTTTTTGAAATGAATATTTTCCTCCAAATAAATAGACCTTAGTTTACAATTATATTAAATTACATTGTATATTAATACATTGAAATGAGGTTATGATAGTTTTCACACAATGTTTGATTCAACGAATTAGGAAGAAAAAAAGGAAATACTTTTCTCTTATTTCTCATCTCCAAAATGAGATGAGTATTTTTTGAAGGGACAAATGAGATGAATATTGTTTTTCTTCCTATCAGTATATCTTGTCTTTTCATTTGTTTTTCTTCCACTTTTTGTTTCTTTTTTCTCTCTAACCATACAAAAAAATTATTTTCCATCTCATTTTCTTTTCTTTTCTCTTTCAAATTCCTTGAACCAAACATATTATTAATGAAATCATTTTAGTACTTATACCATACGGAATATACAATTTCTACTTAATTGATGATCAAAATTTATCTAATTTGAGTGAAAAGTTTCAAATTGGACAAAAACCCGAGACGGAAGTAGTATTAGATCAAAGTCACATAAAGAACATACTTACCAAGGCGTACCAAATCAAGAAAATGACATACTTTTGTAGAGTTCAATGAGCTGATTAAATTAAAGACAACAAAAGGAAATGGACAACATAACAATGCTCATAAAACCCATCTTTCTGAAACCACCTGCTGCTGTGGAATCCAATTTCCTTAATCATCATCTTTGAACTCTCTGCGCAATCCAAACACATCCTTATACATCTCAGCAAAACCAATGTAGAAATTTTCATGAAATCTTTGGCTAACACCCAGAGTGTGTGCTCTAGAGTCATAATAAGAGTCATTCTTCACAAAGGAACATACTTTTTATAATCAGTCACGAAATCATTATACCTGCGATCAAGATATCGAGGTTGGATACCGCTGCCTTGACATGTTGTGCATGTCATAGAACCAACACCATCACAGTTGATGCAACGCGAGACTTCCTTCTCATCCCCTCCAAGCTCAACTGTTACTGTCCCTGTGCCCACGCAAAACCTACATCGCTCTACACAAAAAGAAGCAAACCAATCTTTTTTATGTCAAAAGATGACACGAAACCCTTTGGCTTTTGCCCCGAGTTTCAACTTTGTCTCATACTTTTTGTTTGGTTTAGTTTTGGTTCATTTTGGTCCGCGCTACAAAGAGTGAATTTCTGTTATGTTGAGTGTTTCAGTTTGGCATGTCTTCCATGATACCACTGGATTGCAGGTTAATAGATCACAATCTCAGATTGTGTTTGAAAAAGGGCAATCTTCGTTTTATCTTGGGTGTCCTATTACAGCAGCAAGGTTGAAGGCTTCTGATTGTGAGACTCTAATTTAAAAAATTTCTGCTAAGATCACCACTTGGTCTTCTAGGCACTTCTCTAATAGTGCTAGAGTTATATTGATCAACTCTGTCTTGATGGAAGTTAACTCCTTTTGGGCAAGAAGTTTTATACTCCCTAAGCTAATGGTTAAAAGAATTCAAGCGGTTTGTATAAACTTTCTATGGGGGGTTCTTCTGAGAATTAAAAAATGTCCATTGGTTCAGTGGAGAGAAGTGCGTAGGGCTAAGACATATGGAGGGTTGGGAATAAAGAATATCCTGAACTGGAATAGAGGAACTATCATGGGGCTTAACTGGGATGTGGCTAACAAGAAAGATATTCTATGGGTTAATAAATGGCTACATAACAGGTTCATCAAACAAGCTGATTTATGGGAATACTTTCCTAAACTTGATTCACCTCATTACTGGAGAGAGATGATCCGGGTTAGGGAGGTGTTCAGTGATATGACTAGAGCTATTAGGTATGATGGTAAGATGGGATACAATTGGTTGCAAGGCAGTTTAAGCAGTCATATAGTTGGAAAAAAACTGGGTTTGGAATAAGTTCATACCCTCTAAAGTTCAGAGATTGCAAACAAAAGCCAGGTTAAGTAGATTCTTGAAGGTTGATACTCTGTGCAGTATGTGCCAGATTGTTCAAGAGGATAGATCATATCATGTGGAAGTGTGGATTTGCTCAACAAGTCTACAGTAAGGTGTTTGAAAAGGAAAAATTGCAGATTAATTTTGCTGACTTTAATGATGGAGGAATTGCTCTTGTGAAAATCAGCAAAAAGAAAAATAGCATTTGGCCATTTTACCCTATAGAAAAATAGCATTCTTTATATTCCAACTGAAAAGAGGAGTGTGCAGCTCTCTATCAATAGTAAATGAACCTTCAAATCAATAATAGAGAGTGGCGGCCTTAGGAAGGGGCTTTCGACTTACGAGCACCAGAGCCATTGCAGGGAAAACATGGCTGTGTGTTCTCTCTGTTCGCCTGCAATACCGCCAATTTCACACTATCAAAAACATAGACCGAGTTCCCAACAACACATAAGTATGAACCTACCTCGCAAATTTGCAGCGTGAAAATACTACTTTAACACTTGGATAATACACCACCCGAGACAATCTCGAAACTTCCCTATGAGAAGTGATACTTTAATGATGCTATGTTAATTATTGGCTAAAATTCACCATTGGTCCTTCAACTTTATGAGTTGTGCACGATTGGTCCTTCAAGTTTCAAAAGTCCATGAATAGTCCTTCAACTTTATGAGTTGTGCACGATTAGTCCTTCAAGTTTAAAAATTCCATATGTAGTCCTTCAAGTACATGTCAACCTCCAGATGAGGTCCTTTTGATTAAAATTTAAATGGAATACTAGTTGCATATAATACAAGTAAATTCCACTAGGTACGACTGCTCTGTATTATATGGAGCTAGTACTCCATTTAGCTTTTAACATTTACCATAAAAAAGACTTCATCTGGAGGGCTGACTTGAAGGAGTACTTATGGACTTTTTAAACTTGAAGGACTAATCGTGCACAACTCATAAAGTTGAAGGACTACTTATGGACTTTTGAAACTTGAAGGATCAATCGTGCACAACTCATAAAGTTGAAGGATGGAGTTTAGCCTTAATTATTAGAACATCGACAGACCCAACATAATCGCGACAGCTTAAGTGTCAAGATGTATGCAGATGTAAAAAAACAGATAGGTCATTTCTGTTAGACCATTAACACATTAATTGCCTAAAACATCATAGAAACTAAGAATCAAATAAGATTTAATGCAACATTTTGATTTAGTCTATTTAAACAAGCTATAACATTGTTAATGATGACTGTTTTAGCTCCATTTGCAAAGCTATGTCCCAATTATTACCCTATCATAGAAAAATAGGTTTAAGAATTACAAAAGGGGGGCCGGGGAAACTTACGGCTTTGTTGATTTGGGTTTCATAGAAGACTGGAATTCCAATCCCTACCGCAATGCCGGCAACCCCAACTGTAATTGCTACTATCTGCAAAACCCAGAAGCAGAAGAAAAAACCATCATTAATATGTTTGTGTAAATCATAAATCAGAAAAAATTGAACAGGAATAAAACGTGAAAATCAGATAGGAGAAGATAAAAACCGTGTCTTGATCGAGATCAGCTCTAATACAGGGAAAAGAAGCTGGTGAGCGATGGGTTTTGAAGAGTTTCTGGGAAGAAGACGATGAATAGAGCTTGAGAGGACAACAGAGATATGGAGACTGAAGCTTGGGAGAAGTGGTTGATAACATTTTCTTGTAATAATTTTATTTTAAAATGAAAATTTGATTGAATTGTTTCCAAGGGATAGTAGGAGATGTGTTGTAGCCATGGCTGTGTTAACAATGGAACCTTGGGGGATTTTGTGGGGTCTTTTTCAGTATTCACCATACAAAGAGAAAAATGTCTCTCTAGAAAAAGGCCATTGTTTTAAAAAATAAAACCTGCTAAATATTTTTCAAAAATTTATGGGCCTCTCGTTCTCTTATCTACGCTTCGGGCCAAAATGTATTCATACTATTGGTAGAGATGTTAATTTCTGCTCGACTCAAACCTAGATCACAAAGAGATAGGGAATGGGTCATACACAATTCCAAAGGTATGATGCATCATTTGTGAATTACAGTAACTTTCAAAATATATCTTTTTCGTCCTAAACTAAATTACATGTTTACCATTTATAGAGATGGATTGTATTTACTTTCTTTTTCTATTTTCGTTACTCATTTAATAAAATAATATAGTCATGTAACATCTTGTTTCGTAAAGTTTTTTATGTAATTTTTTAATATATAGCGTTTATTTTTTAAATTTAGCTCCAAATACCTAATAAATTGTATTGAATATAGTTACTCAAACATCGTAAATTGAAACAAACGATTTAAATTAGTACGAAGGGAGCATAACACTTCCTTTCTCTTTTTTCAAATTCCTACTATTTTTATGATTTTTTCAATTCTCATGCATTTCACGCTTCATATACGGAGTAGTTTATTTTCTATGTAATGGGCTTCATACAACTAATACCACCCGTTGTTACCTATTTCACGGACCCGTTTCATGTATTTCATTTTCTATGTAATGACTAATGAACTTCGTAGAACTAAGATCGGATGATGAATGTAATGGATGATGGATAATACGAAGGACTACATATATATCACTGTAATAAAAACAGGGTCAATCTATTTTTTTAGTGCAAGTCCACTCTTTTAGTATAGCATATTTCCTCCATTCTTTATTAATTTTTCTATTATATATGACTATTATTATGAGTTTCTTTGTGTTATTTATTTCTAACTCTTCAAAAATTTTAATGATTCCATCTGAATTTTAAAAATTAAATTAATGGTCCCTGGATTTTTTAAAAAATTACATCAATAGTCCCTCTGTGCCAGATTTGACAATGCTTAAATCACACTTTCATCAATATGCGAGCTGGAGTTTGGTCAATGATCCCTCTGTGCCAGATTTGACAATGTGTTAAGCACACTTTGATCAATTGATGCCTGAGATTCAAGTTTGGTTACGTATGGCTAAAGCGAGAGTAATTATCAAGGGTATCAAGGGGTTAAAAATATAAAAACATAATGCTTGGGAAAACATATTCTAGAACTCATGTGTGATATGATAAATGAGTTTAGATAAATCCAAACCTGTACTGGACAAGCACGTGATTAACGCACACTCAAATCTAATAAAAATGACGATTGATTTAGGCCCCGTTTGGTACATGGAATTCAATTCAATTGGATTCAAAATCCAAACCTGACAGAATTCAATTCTATGGAGTTGAATCCCATAGAATCTCAATTCCAATTCAATATCAATTTCGTCAATTCCGTGTACCAAACGGACCCTTAATGTTTTTAAAAAATTCAAGGACAATTGGTATAATTTTTAAAATTCAGGAGTAATTTATGCAATTTTTGAATAGTTTGAAAGTAAGTGTCACAAAAACTTCTTTCATTGTGCATCAAAAATTAATGCATATAGACATAAATTATAATACGTCTATTTATTTTTCAATATATCATAAAAGTTAATTATAACAGACACTTAACAAAGAATTGCGAGAAAAATAAAATAGGATTATACTTGAGAAAAATAAGATAGGATTATACTTTTTCTCTTACACAACCCCCAACACCCCCAAAAAAACAGAGTATATACTTTTCGTCTATTCGTAAATTGACCCGTGCATTTCTGAAATGAGAATTTGATACCTTAGAAACCCATGCAAGAATTGAATTCCTCCTCTTTTTAATCAGAACGTCAATCAGAGAATTCGGATTCACAAAAAAATGTAATAATACTACTAATAATAATGGTAACAATAATAATAATGCATGATAATAATAATAATAGTAATAATAATAATAGTAATAATTATATTATTATTAATGATAATAATCCATAATAATAGAGGTTTGGGTTGTATTCCGTTCGTCTAATCCAATTGATTCTGATTTTAAATTTTAAGGTCTGATCTGGTATGGACGAATCTCATATAATTTGATCTAAATGGATCTAATCTGGTGATCTGATTCAAATTAAAGTTATAATTCTTTCACCAATTTTATTATTTTTTTTAACATTGTGATGTTCATAGAGTCAAAATTCAAAAAGACACCGTGATGATAATTGTTTTTAATTACGGAGTTAATTAGTTTTCAATATATAGTACACCCAATAACTTTTATTCTAGATTTATTTTTCTTATGAAAGAAAAAAACCAATCGAATAATACACTGAAGATATAGAAGAAAAAAATTGTTATTAAAAAATTATACTCTGTAACATTTAAATAATGCGTACTAAAAAGCTAACCTCCCAGAATGTAGAATCCACTTTAGTTTATTACTCCATCTGACCCAATATATATATAAATATCTTAATTTCTTTTTATAGATGTTTTAAAAAGGCCTCTTTTTTTTAAAAGAAAATTGAGGGACTCATAATGTTTATCTCTTCTCTATATCACTTTCAACCATACATTTTTCTTTCCTTAAACTTTGTGCGAAATTAAACTAAGAGCTATTTTTAGTAGGGGTGTGCATTATTCGGTCCGGACCCGGACCGACCCGAAACCCGGCCAAAACCGGACCGGACCGGTCCTTATTCAGTCCGGTCTCCGGTCCTCATTATTTCCTTATTCGGGTTTCGGTCCGATCCACCGGGTTTCGGTCCGGACCGGTGGACCAGTTATATTTTTTTAAAAAAATATACTCCCTCCGTCCCCATGTGTTTGTCCACATTTGACTTTTGGAACTGTTCATCTAAGCACATTGACTCATCAAATTCTCTCAATGTGTAAGCCTAAATATAGTCATGTGTGATATTGTTTGATTTGTCTTAACATATAGATTATTAATATATAATTTCTATAATTTTTTAATATACAAATTACAAGATAAAATGGATTAAAGAAGTGCATTGGATGGTGTGTAAAAATGAAAGTGGACAAATACAGGGGGACGGAGGGAGTATTTTTTCTATATAGTCTTATAACTTTGTATTTTTTAAGATTTTTTCTTATACTTAAAATTAATTTAACTTTAATACTAAAAGTTTTTGAAATGTTTTGATTTTATTATTTAATATAATTTTTTAATTATGTTTTCAATTCAAAATAAGGTACCAATTCTAATGACATTTAAATATTTTCAATTCAAAAATAAACATTATAAACAATCTCATGAATGAAAATAGTAAAAAAAGTATCCATTTGCCAAAATTAATTGAAAACTCAAAAATTATATTACAAAAAAGCAAAAATGTAGTAAGAAGAAGAATATTTCCTATTAAAATAAAAATTACGAACAAATTTTATGTAATACGGATGGAAAATACGGAGTATATATTTTATTTAAAGTTTTTGAAAAAAACTAAAAACAAAAGTGTTTGACAATGTTTAGTGTATGTTACAATTAAAAATTAGTTGTAGTAATATTTTTATTCAATTGAATACTTTAAATTAAATAAATAAAATCAAATTTAAAAAAAAAATAAAAATAGCATTTATCCGGTCTGGTTCCGGTCCGGTCCGGGTTTTACCGGTCCGGTCCCGGGCCGGTCCTTAGCTTAATCGGTCCGGTCCTCGGTCCACCAAATGCCCCTTATTCGGTCCCGGTCCGGGCCGGTCCGGTTCGGGTTTGACCCGATGAACACCCCTAGTTTTTAGAATAGAGGGAGTACTCGGAGTAGCATATTTCCATTGAAGCCATTGAGACGAAGTTATTACTTTGTTGTAGGTTCATGACTAATTTTATACAAGCATGGCATAGTATTAGGTTCATTCTCTAATAAAGCTTTCATAGGAAACTCAATTAGTCTCAGAGGTGGAATTTTGAACAAGAGACCAAGGATCATATCTCACCTGCAGTGGCAGTGTGGGAGCAACCTCTTGAAAAATGAGACTGGCTTCTTGCCCTTTGTTGCCACTTGAGTCAACATTGTTTACATTCTCTCACATTCCCGTCAGGCAAGGGTGGGGTGCCTGAGGTGAACGATTTTACCTTTTTGGAACAAGGTTCATTCTTTCATAAAAATGGGAGTTCCTGACACATAATCCAACATGTACATTAGGAGATAAAGATCATATGATTTCTTAGTTTGTGCCCTTTTACTTCGCGTCAAATTAATTACAATTTTCGATTTCAATGTTAATACCAATGTTAGAGAGATGTGCATTATCTTTGTTCATCATCTCCATATGTTTAAATGAACTCACTTCCTCAATTGACTTAAAGGAAATTTTGTGTTCAATGAACATTAGGTTCTTTCATTATATTATTCGTTATTGTCATTATGTAGATTATCGAATTCTCTTACAAAAAATTGATATGCACTACAACAATACTTAATAAATAAAGATTTCATCAATGATTTTTAGATCGATCTTCATTTTGTTTGGTAGTGGTGTTGAAATAAGATAGAGTAATACTTTCGAGTAGGGATAATGTCTTCATTTTAGGTAGATCTTCATTTTATTGGAAACAACATCTCTACTTTTAAGGAGGGATAAGGTTTGTGCACATGCATCCCCCAGTGTCTGCTTTTATGGAATTCTACTAGGTTGTTGTCTTTGGTGATGTATGTTAAAACTTTTGTGAGACACACAGACAAAAAACACATTCGTCATATATTTCATAGTGCAACTTTTGCATTTTGCCACATCGTTGGTTTAAAGTGTGCACGGTGATGTTACTTGATGCACAATACCATATTATACACATATCTCATCAAAAGGATTATCACAAAACCCCTTGTCTCTATCACTTTATTTCATCCAAAACTTCAGAAAATGTATGCAATGTTCCATACTCACAAGTAATACTCTTAGGTTATTGGGTGTGAGGTAAAGTTACTCAGGTAAGGAAGGGGTTCAGCAAGCACAGATGGGCGCCGCCAGTGTCGACGTGGAACAACGCCGCCCACCACGATTGGGACTAGGTGTTCGTATTCGGACACTGTACACTCCAACATTTTTTTCT